CGGCCGTCTTGTGTTTAGAACTGATACATCAAATTTACCGCTCTCTTCCATCTTGTCAATAGCCATTCGAAGAAGATCTCGAGAATAACCTCGTTTGCGATACTCTTCCAAGGTACCCACACATGTGATAGTAGCACATTGATACTCGTCATCATCTTCACGAGATCGAAGTATCAAACGTGCAATATTTACTGTGCTCACTAATTTTCCATCAAACCATGCACCTAGTGTATCACCTTCTTCGTATCGTGGAGACGCACGACTTCCAAAATAGCGGTCAGCCATGCCTGGAAAGATTCCAAATACGGAATACCACAAGTCAATTGCTTGCTGTTGTTCATGTTTTCTCACAGAACGATAGTTAATAGTTGACGTATCGTTGATGGTGGCGGAGGCTGTCATGCTGTAATCTTGTTTTAAAAGAAGAAACTTCAATGACAAACAGTGATATTATCACACAACTACAGAACGAGTAGAGAAGAGAAAGAACGTGTAAGTGGTCGTAACAAAGACAAACTGATGCAGATAACAACCAGTTCTAATTGTATTTGATAGGTGTTACAAACCTGGTTTCTTTGTTTGCTGTACGTTTTTAGTGTCTAATGAGAGTCATGGCGTTGCTGTTCTACTCAGCATAAATAAAATGATGAGTAAGAGGGAGCGGCTAGAACATCGCTGCTTGCTCCTCTTTCGTTCTGCTACTCGTTACCTCATGTTATATATTCACATATGCATTATAGTAGAAGAGAATAAGTAAAACAATCTCAGTAACGTCGAGAAAAAGCAGCATAATTGATTCGGTGTTTCTCTTGCTTATGACATCAAAGAGAATATTGATTTCTTACTTCTTCTTCGGATCTAGCGCTCGAGTTGGAAATCATTCAAACTGGGAACGCAGGATTTTTTTATTAGCTTGAGGCCCCATACAGCTGAGCATCTAGGAAGTATGACTCATCGGAGTAGGGTGTGGGTGTGAGGTGGATGTGGGGCAGAGTTGGAATCGGACAGCTTTTTTCTGTCCAGCCCGCAACCAGCCGGATGACTTTTACAGCCAAACTGGCAAAAATCCGGCGAAAATAAGCAACCATAAAAATATCTATTCACATATAATGGTGATGAAGGAGAATCTAATATTCATGTGCAGAAATCTGAATCAGGAATAGTCAACTTATATTTACCAAAATTTAAATAAATCGAAAAATAAATTTAAAAAATTATATTGATTTTCAATTTAAATTGGATTTATGTGCATTTAAATTTTTCAAATTTATTAAATGTAGTTTAAACCAATATAACTTCAATTTAAACCATATAAAAGTCAATTTTTAAATTCATTCCGCTGGATTTAAATCCAATTTAATGGGTGTACATTGAATTTAGATTGATTTAAACTGGATTTGAGTAAATTTAAAAGGCTTAAATAAATTTAAAATAAACTTCAATTTACAAAATTTACATTTAAAATAAATTTAAATTTTCATCTCTAAAAAATTTTATTTATTTGAAATTTAACTTCGCAAAAATTTAAATTTAAAATAAGTTAACAGGCGATCGCCGTTCCTAATTTGAACTGGCCACTAAAACTTAGGAATGAAACTGTCACCGTCATATTTTAGGGTGGGTATGGGTATCAGAGCTCGAAACCGAATCGAATTGGCGAATGATTCGATTCGATTCGACTCAGCCGATTCGAATCGAGTCGAATAGTATCCTTTCATTTTCGAGTCGAATCGATTCGAATAAAGACTGTAAAAAAGCGAATCGAATCGAATCTATTTTTTTTCTCTTTCATTCTGTTGACAGTGGCCTCTTGATTTTTCTCATATATTGTTATCGACGAGTGTGTATGAATTGGTATAAAAGGTGATCGCTAATTAAGAACGTGCTATCTTATTCATTTCTTTTTTTTTCTCAGTCTAAACGGCGGTCTATCGTTAGCGATTGAATTTTACATGAATGTCACTAATAACTATGTTAAACGTTGACGATAATTAGTCATCCACTTCTTCTTGTGCAACACTAACTTCTCAAGCAGATGCTAAAAGGTCAACGATGGGTGCGACGAGTGGTCGAAACCTGAATATATATATTTTTTTCTCGTTCTATTCTAATTTCGAGCCCTCGAAAGTATTCTCCCATCGTACATTTATTTTCGGCTCCTCGGACGCATTTCGACCGCTTGAAAACCATCGAAAAATGGACCACTTGAAGAGAGGAGGCTTATCGGAAAGATCATTTCGATTACTCGATATGATTCCGATCGGTAGGAACCCATCGAACTATCGAGTAGTCGGAAACATTTTCCCATCATGCATTCATTTTCGACTCCTCTGGCTCGTTTCAACAACTCGAAATCTATCGGAATTTCGACTACTCCAAGACAGGAAGCTCATCGAAAAGCATAATTTCAATTGTTCGTTTTAACTTTGATTGCTAAAAGTGTCTCAGAAATTCAGTTGTTGAATGATTTTTTTACCCTTATGGCATGATCCATTTGGAGAGTTTGGGTTTTCTATAGGTGCTTTCATGTAGTTTGATCATTTAAACAATATTATTTATCATTTACAATTACAACGATGGTAGAAATATGTTTACAGTGCTCAGAGAAAAATAACCATGATGAATTCAGTTTCATAACATCCCAAATGTTCTGAGCTTTTGACTAACTCTGTTTTTTGATTGCTCGTTGACGAAAAAAGTTCATGAAATCATTTAAAACTATCAGTTTATTTTTTATTCATCGGAAGTGCTGAGATAGTTGAATATTATAAACATAATAGGAATAGATATGTCGAGTATGTCTAATTTTAGTTTCAATATTTTTTTTATTGTTTTTTTACATAATCTAATTAACTATAATTAATTTATGCTTTAGCATAAATTTTTTATTTAATACAATGAAACTGATAACAGATAAAATTGCTTTTACTTGACATCAACAATAGCAATATGTATATATCGCCAGTTGCTGTTGAAAAAAAACTCATTAAACTTATTTTTAAAGGAAATAGAAAATATAGAAGTTAAACATATTTCATGATGATACTTAGATTTATCTCAAATTAAAACGTTATGTTTAGTTCATCTGATTTATGCAAGCAATCCAATTGTAAGTACATATGTTCCAATCTCCTCTTCTGTAAAAATATCCGATAGGTATCAAGGGCTCGAAAAAATGAGAGAGAGAAAACAAATTTTTTTGAGATTTTCCAGAAATGTCGAGGGCTCGAAATATCGACCCCTCGGGATGCTCCACGAATCGGACCTATCGAAACTCATCGAGAAAGGTCCTTCGATGGGCATCGAAGTGCCATCTTGACACGTCGGAGTGCCATTTTCCGATAGGTCGAGGGGACGACGATGGGTGAACAATTCTTAATTTTATCGACCCGTCGGATGGTTCAGATCGACACCTCGAAATACCTGCCGAATGATTGCTTGGGTCGTGCATAATTTTCGTCGACATCAACTTATTCAATATCTTCTATTCGACATGCATTAATTGAAGACAATGCTTATTTTCAAGTGATTTTCAATAAAAGCAAGAGAAGAATGAAAAACAATTCTCAGCACGAGGAGACAATATTGTTGAAAAATCAATAGTAATATAAAATATATAATATGTTTTTTAACGGAATCTAAACCGAATCGAACCGAACCGAGCCGTATCGAACTTTTATCATTCTTTTCGCGCTCTGGTGGATGTGAGTGTGGATGGATGTGGGTGGGTGTGGGGTGTGGGTGCGGGTGTTGATTTGGTCCACATCCACACACACCCACCCACACCCATACCCACACTCACACTCCACACCCAAACCCACACCCACCCACACCCTGAAGAAGGAGAAAGACGCTTTCTTTGAATGACCTGGCGATTTAATGCAGCTCTGCGATTCTCACAGTAAAATTTATCATAATCCATTCAAGTTTTTAGGTATTGAAAGATGTAAACACGAGTTGAAAGTCTCTCAGGAACAATGTATTTTTTTTGAATTCTCAGAGTTTTAATGATTTTACACAACAATTCCACATAAATTGAATAAGGTTTATATCATGCATGTTGAGCAATTCCTAAACCTCTAAAATAACGATGGAAACATGAGAGTCAAAAAGAAGATGACCGAATGCTATTTCGGTGTTTGAGAATACTAGATGGATTTCCGGAGCTTTTTTCGGAAACGTAAGTGTTTTCTGAAGATTCGAAAACCCTTCAGGGTTTCCGATAGATGTTCGGAAACCATTCTCGAATTCTCAGAAACGCTTCAACCGCTTCCGATGCTGGGAAATCCAAAAAGGTTTTCGATAAGGTTTTTAAATCAAAAGCGGTTTCCGCGGAAACCTTTCGGTTTTCGAAAATAGCATCGGAGTTTCTGAGACTACGGTTGAGGGTTTCCGAACCTATCTTTCGAAAACCCATAAGTTTCCGGTTGCTCGGAAACCTTGAAGGTATTTTCAGAAACTTAACATGAGTTCGGAAACCTTTCCGAATACGTTCATGGGTTTCCGAAGGAGTTTCGGTTTCTGAAAAAACGTTTTTTTTTAGAGTGTATATACTAGCAAGAACCCGTGCATACTGCACGGCTGGTTTTTCTTTTAACGCATGACCTCAGATATTTAGCTGTTCATCCGGTAAAATACATGCAGACACTCGATATTATGTATATAGATAGATAGCCCCACGACCGCATACTCTCATATCGCACATATTTTTATAGTCCATGTAGCCTGCGGCCTTATAGCCTTATATTCCTTGTAGCCTTATCTCCTTATTGCCTTACTCCCTTCAGGGCCTATGTGTACTCCCATATAATAGGCCTTGAGAATCTATGAGTACTCCCATAGGATAGCCTTTCAGGACCTATTAGTACCCTATATAATAGCCCCTGGAGATCTTCCTCTTATGGCCTTGTTTGGCCTTTGATCTTTAGCCTTTGACCTGGCACAGACAGACAGACACGCACGCACACATACACTGAACATTATATATATAGATTTGTATTTTAATTATTACGGGTATCATGGAAGAAAGTTGAAATACTTTCGTCGAAAGAATTTGTCAAAATTGTAAATTGATCAAAAGGAAATGGTAGTGAGTAAAGAACTGCTGGATATGGATATTCACGAGACATATCACAACGAATAAACCAATTCTTTTCACGTTTATAAAAAGGCGTTGAAAACGATGTTACTATTTGTTTAACTTGATTGGTTGAATATGGGAAAACTTCGAATTGAAAATAAAACTTGAAGTTTTGTAATAATGGAAGTGATGAACAAATCAAATTTTCCCATACTTGACCATTGGGAAGTAATCTTCCTCGTTCTTTTTGACAAATCTCGAGCGTTATTAATTTAGATAAATTAGCAAGGGATCCTTGCATCAATATAACATCTTCATCCTTCAAAAAACTGATTTTGAGTCGTTTTAATGTTAGTGGCCATATTGGAACTGTTTTGCAAGAATGGCAAGTAATTATAGTATATTCAAGAGTTTCAAGTTGAGAAAAGTTCTGCAAAACAAAAATGAATATTCACTAATCGATGGAATTTTTTTATAATATTACTTTGATCCATTTCGTATTTCTACATGAACTAAAAGCAAGTCGTTTAAGTTTTGGAAGACTAATATTTAGACATTTTTTTCCACATATAGAGTCAATTGTTAATGAGTTAAGATTTGTAAGAGATCGAAGTTGATATAATAATCTATATATATGTTCAGTTTTCATTTCTAATAAAGACAACGATTGGAGTTGAGGAAAATGTTCAACGAAAGAATAATTTTTATTAAAATATTCAATCTGTCCAGATGTATCATCATCATCGTAAAGTTGTAATGATTTCCACTGTTGTGTATCATGTCGTCGAAAAACGAGTTCAAATGGCACTTTGCTTGCTGATTTACAATCAAAGAATTGACAATACTCAAGAAGTAAACATTGAAAACGATAGTTAAGTCGTGAGAAAGCAAAAGCAGCATCAACTCCATTTAAATAAGAAAAGATTTCAATGAAAATTTCATTAGATAGACGTTCAATTAATGTTGGAGGAATTGGCTTCGATTGCTTTTCCCCCATATTCGTCGTGTACTGCAAACAGTAAATGAATATTTCGACTATTATTGTTGTTTTCAAACAAGAAGAGATATGACTGAAATAATACACTTTTTTCTTTTCTTTCTTCTCTTTGTTACTCAAAGCAAAACATAGTTGATTTATCTATTTGATTAAATTGTGCTAAAAACGATAAGAATGTTGTTATTTTACACGTTTTACTCAGTGTAAACCAAGATGGATATGACGAAAAAATCATTTGACGTTGACGAACAAAAAAAGAGCTTTTTTATCTGTTGTTTTCATTTGCATATAATAATTACTTTCTAGCTTTTTATTTTCTTCTTTCTTAAATAGTAATGTAGAATCTCGGCGAAAAATTAATTAAAACGTTTCCATTTTGTGAAATGTTGTAAAAAGGTCATTATTTGATTATATTTTTCGAGTTGATTGAGGAAACAAATGGTGTCACACTCAACTGCTGCATACATCTAGCCAGATCAATAATAGTGAATAACGAAGGAAAAGTATTTCAATAGAATAGACTAAACTAAAATAAGTTCAATCGCATTGTTCGAATCTAATCTTTATCATTTTTACCAAAGGGGAACAAACTGATTTCTAATAACAGAAATGAACAGTAATTATTGGAAATTGTCTTGACTATGTGTCATTTTATCGGAATTATTAAGCATAGTAGTGAAAAAACTTAAGAACAACCCATTCTCATTAAATTGCCATAATATGTGTCGAGAAAAAGATTAGTCAACCAAAAAGAAACTTTGAGAGCTTTAGTACTTTCCAGTAAATTCTAAAGCTTGTCCTCGTAGGGACTCTAGCTTTCTACATCATCCTGGTGGTGATATACAAAGCAATGTAACCGTCTTTATGCATGAATGATACGTGATTGGGTGATAATCAGTTGTCGTTCAGTTTTCTTTGTAAAAGACTTTTTTGTCTTATATATCTCGCTTTACATGTTCTCTCTCGGATACAATTGGCCAAAAAACAGATATTTTCGTTTCTGTTCATTTTCATCTTTGGCTAGCCTAGTGAATACATATTGTGGGGTGTGGATGTGAGTGTGTGGGTGTGGGTGTGAGTGTGGATGTGGGTGTGAATGTGGATGTGGGTGTGAGTATGGATGTGGGTGTGAGTGTGGATGTGGGTGTGGGCGTAATGCAGATCAACACCCACACCCACACCCTGAACAACAGCTGATCGACAAGTAGTAAAAATGGTTCTTCTTCAAATCATATTGATTATTATTTCTAATCCTCCGGTCGGTGTTTTCAATGCATATAGAACGATTACAGCTGATTTTATTAAAAGTCAAGAACAACAAATAGAAGAATATTGTACTTTATTAATCATCAATCTTATATCAACGTTATATTATACAGTATGTTTGAAGTTTATTAAAGAAGATGACAGAGAATATTTTTGATTATTTTTAGGCAAGTTTTTACACATTTTTGATTTCATCAAATCGTTTTCGTCAAACTGTGAAAGAACGATTATATTTCGATGTCGAAACCCAAATCAAGTTCAACCATCTTTAACTTAATGATATGAATATCAATATTGAAGAAACACATAAACATTTATTTCGATATCTATTTCAAAATATGATTTGTCAATAAATATTAATGTAATAATATCCATGTAAAAGAAAAAATGCTCATAACAAATAACCATACTCTGATCTTTCTTCAATTAATCATATTCATAAGTTTTGAAGAATGTTATTTTGTCAAATACATCTGAATCAAAAATAAAACAATAAATAAGTTTAGGTATTCTTGTAAAATATGAATGTCATCTTTAAAAATATCTTCACTCTGCACTTCATCCTCATATGATTAGAAACTTCTCATTATTTCCGCATTCAAGTGAAAGGGTTGAAATAACATATTATCTTATCTATTAATAACAATTATGTTAGAACTTCCAATTATCATGGAAAATGAAAGTATATAGCAAAAGTAATCGTTTATTTTTATAATATGTCAACATGTTTATGTCTAATCGTAGAATGAAATTTAGTATAAACTTTTTTGTTCATAAAAAATCCAACTTTGAATCTCAAAAATAATATTGGAGATCAGTTAAGCATCAGAATATGTAATTGCAAAAGATAGCGTATAATAAATTTACGAAAAGTACTACGATCTTGAGGGTGTGGTTGTGGGTTAAGAGTATAGTCTCAACCACACCCACACCCTCAAGATTAACATTATTTCTAATTTCATTAACCTGATTAATATTAACATCAGGAATAACTTTTGAAATCGATGTAAATATACTGCTTGAACTATTGTCCAAATCACGAGATTTACTAGATCTTTTACTAATTTTACCACCTTTACGATTTGAATTCGAATGAAAGATTCTGCCTTTCTTATATGGAGTTTACTTGTCTTTTTTACTCTTTTTAATCGAAAGAAACAATAATAGTATATTATCCTCTTGAAGATAAGTTTGGATGTAAGTAAAGAATGAAGGAATATATATATATATACAATCATCCTTACTCATATCCACACTCTATTTAACTAAATAAGAGAATAAAACTATTCAGTGCGTTGAAAGGTATCAATTCAAACAGAAAAAAAATAAAATGATGGCTATCTAAATAAGTAACAGAAGAAATATCTTAAATCATATCGATAACAAGCACTTGAATGTTTACAACCCCCATTTATAAAATATTTGCAACGAAAATACACTTTATAACATTAGAATAATATGTAAACCAAATGTCAGCTGTATTCATGTACATTGAGAAAAGTTATTGTGAAATTTTCAATTGCTGAAATAAATTATCGATAATCTATTACAATATAGGGACAAAGATTTCTTCTTACCACATTTGTTTGGTACATGTCACTGCTTTGTATTAAGAATTAGAAACTCCTTGTGAAGTAGAAAATATAAAAAAGATAAATGGGATAATGGTCCGTTATTGGTTAATCGTATTAAGCAATTGATTGTCTTATTATCGTTGTCGACTCAACTTAGATGACTCAGATGCTGCTTCTTATTTTTTATTGAGTTGAGTTTTTCCAAAAGCATTTTCAATGCTCGAATATTAGTTTTTCTAAATCCGTCTATATTTTTATTGCAATTTAATTTTAGAAAATTTTTGTCATGAAAATTTCTTGTAATTGTGATTATTTGCTTCAAGAAAATGTATTCATATTGTCTTCATCAAATCTAGAGTGATTTAAGAATTTCGCTTGTTAAATGATGCTTTATAAAAAAAGAGCTAATGAACAATTAATATAATCAAAAAGGAAAAAATAACAACAATCGTCATCTTCATCAAATGCCCCACTAATACAAGTTCATGTTTGACCGTTTACTACACAAGCATTATCAAAGCAAGCTGTATACATCAGGATAATAAATATTGTTTAACATCACAATACAGAAAAGATTATTCGACAAAAAGAAGTCGCTGTTTAAGTCATTTTAATTTATATGTGATCATCTGTTTTTGTATTTTTTTTTCCAAATAAATCATTGAGATACTTATGTACACTGTTATTGGTATTGTTTTCTCTTGTATATATTGAACTATTTATGATATATTCTTGATTATGACAAAAACAAGATAACCATTGGTTTTATCCACAATATATACTTACAATTATATTGAGAAGTTTATAGATGTATGAGTACTTCAAAGTATTGAAAGTACTTGAATTACGAAAGTTTAATATTTTGCCCTTGTTAAATTCAAAACCATCTTAAGCAAACGACTCATTCGAAAATAAGAAAATTTTCTTGAAAGAAGTTATGCTATATTGGTGCATTTTTTTAAATATTCTATCTATTGTGCTGTAGAGAACCAAACTAGTCGTTGATTTTGCTAATATACACGAATCACGAAATTTTGTTTTAATCACCGTATAAAATCTAGGTATCCGTCTTTACAGTAGAGATCTATCAAACCATCATCATTATTTGTCAATCGGAAATTTTCATGTACGATCTTCCTTTGTAATAGTATATGAGTCGTTCATCTCCATATATGGTCTTTCTTCTTCGTAGTGCATGAGTCATTCATCTCTTTCGTGTTCTTTCTCCTGTTGATAACGTCAATGGATTTATTTTTATGAGTTATGATTTTTCTTTCCATTCTCCTCGGAAATTTCCTATATACCCTATATTAGTCTTTATATAGCTATCGTTCTTCGATAATAGTATTCTTTTTATTCTACTACTGAAAACTCAATTATATTGTTATTTTGCTTTAGATATCTCGTTTATCTTCGTTATAATATCATCACACATTAACTTATTCCACTAACAAGTTACAAATCAGAGACTAGTTGCAATACAGAGATACACTTAGATTAAAGTAAGTCCTTGTTTAATATATTTCTATATGTGGTCCGATCTTTTGGAAAAGTATCAGCGCTTCATTGAACTAGACTCAAGGAGGGAACAGCGTATTTTGAACTATATGAGACAACCTAGGATTCTCTGTGCTATTTTATGCGACTGCAGTGTATCAGGAGTAACCACGATCTACTATTTTCTGTCTCAAACTAATGTAAGCTGCCGTGTGACAGATTGAACAGTTGTTTTTTCAATATTCTTTTGATCATTCGTTCACTGGAAATTATTTTATCCGTTTTGTTCTTCAAATACATTGATTTCTATTTGTGAACAGCAATATATTTATGATCTAATTACAACCAACTCTCAGTAACAAGATGTATCTTTGAACTGATCTAAGATCTGCCATGTTACATATGAGTAGAACTTTCGAACCTCAATCTTGACTTAGAGATGATCGACAGTAACTTCATGATCGATATTTTCAGGAATTTTTGTAAAAAAACTTACTGCTGATTGAGTCCACGGATACGCTGCCGGTATTCTGCAATTTACCTTACTCAATCACCCTTTTACGAAACTCTGAGTAAAATTCGAAAAAAGTTTTTGCATGCATCAAAAAGAGATCGGTGTGAAGCTAGCACGACCAAGTTAGTACGAAAAAACCAAGATTTAGC